ACTTACTACATTTGCACTCTGTATATAGATTTTCTATTGTGTTATTGACTGTATGTTTTGTTTTATCCCATGTGTAACTCTGTGTTGTTGTTTTTATCGCACTGCTTTGCTTTATCTTGGCCAGTTCGCAGTTGTAAATGAGAACTTGTTCTAACTGGCTTACCTGGTTAAATAAAGGTTAAATAAATACAAATAAATTGGCTTTGTGAAGCCATTGAGAAGGCGTATGAGGCGGCGGGGCGGCCATTGCCTCAGGATATAAGAGCCCACTCCACTCGTGGAGTAGCGGCTTCTACTGCCCTTTTCAGAGGAACTGGGGTAGAGGATATTTGTGCAGCGGCGTCGTGGTCGTCACTGTCTCCTTTTATCAGTTTCTATCTCTTAGATATGTCTTCGAACTCTTTGGCTCAGTCTGTACTCAGCGTAGCTGATGGGAGGACTTGAGAAAGGAATGCAGGACTGAAGAGACAGGACATATATGGCATGACTCCTGACTGACATGTTCAGTACAGTAGTAGGCATGTTATTGATCTGCCCACCAGGGTATACTGGGTTGGGGCGGAATGATGAGGGAAATAGTGTTTGTAACTTTGGTTACATTACTATTAGACCAGTCATAGATTTTGATGGAATTGTGACATCATTTATCTGCTGGTTCAGATTAGTATGACTCATATTCTGATTATCTGCCCACTAGACATTGGCAATGCCATTGGACTAGGTGGGGCGGATTGTACTGAGGACACAGTATATTGTGACACAGTGTGTCACAGTACTGTGGGACTCGGTCGCAGCCATTTAATTAAGTGGGAAGTGTTGGGCTCGGCAGGGAGTACATTTTGGAGCGTTGCGCTCCGCCTTAAACCGATATGTGGCGGAGCTCCACGATATAGAACGATAGTTACCGGAGTTGTAACTCCAGTTCTATGAGTGGAGCGGAGCCCCATAGGACTTAAGGCCCTGCCGACCCTCCAGTCTCGCTGAAGATAAATTGAGCTCTGAAAAGAGCTTTTGGGGGTGGAAAATCTCTAGGTGTGCTCATTTTAGGACGACGTCGAGACTTGGAAAATCGACGTCGGCTTTCTCGTCCTGAGTCTAGTCTTCTCGGCTTCTTCAGTCCAGTCCAGTCGCTGAAGATAATGGGAGGCTGATTGAGGGGAAGCGTCCCCTCTTATAGGGACACCTGAACTCCTATTGGCTGCAGATGTGTGCATAATTTTGTCTCAGGCTGTTCGCTGCCTAGGCAGCGGGGTAAACCAATAGGAGCAGAGCTCCCCTATGGGGCTCCGCTCCACTCATAGAACTGGATTAACAACTCCGGTAACTGTCATTATGGATGAAGACCGTCATGAAAATAAAATAGCCGTCAAAACTGTTTAAATAGGTCTACATTCATTTTAGGATTAAAAAACAACAACGTTATTTTCATGTAGATAAACTTTACCTTATACCGGGAGTGTTTACTAATAATTATAAGCAATTGTTTGCTAACTTAGTCTGTTTTAATAAAATGTCTACATCTCCTCCTCTTTCCAACTGTCCTTTGATGCTCGAGCAGCTAATCCACTAGATGCGCAGGGGTGTAGGCTATGGCACTTCCGTAAAAAGAATAATTTGATGTTTGGACATTCTTTTATACAATGCACATTTTCATTGCTTGCTAGTAAATAAATAAATCGGTCTTTTAAAGGTTGGATGTGTCTGACTATTCATTAATTATTCAACAGCAGTCGACAATGTTGTTCTGGCTCAGAGGCCTATAAAGCGCTAATGTTGTGTCAAATGGACAATGCTACAATCCTCTCCAACCTGGCATGGTATAATTTGATGCGGAATCTTTTCTTAATTTATAGACTAATCAACGCTGATCAGGCCCGGTCCTGGCCGATATGCTGCCCTAGGCGAGATCAAAAAAAGGACCCTCCTATCCCCGCAAAGTAGAATGGTAGCCTAGGCTATACAGTGTCGGCCCTTAATGCACTTTTATGAATGCCCATGTGGTAGCCTACCGTTTGTAAAACAGGCAATTTATCGTTAATCCCTGTCATTTGGTTACATAAATGTATGTTAATACATGTATTAAATACAGGGGGGACTCAATATTAGGAAGGTGTTCCTAATGTTTTGTACGCTGGTGGCTTTGATTGATGGGTGCTTTTAAGGGGGTGTGCTTGAGTGAGTTCACTGATTCTCTATAGGCCTATATGTCATCGAATGACCGCAGCAGCTGGGTTTGTGACGTTATGCAAATATTTCGGGAAAAGTGGGAGAACACATCAGACTTCGTTTGAATGGTTTTGTGAGTCAAAATAGGATCTGTATTGAAACAAATGATATGCAAAAAAGCCAACAGACAAGGACAAAGTAGGCATACAGTGCATTCAGAAAGTTTTCAGGCCCCTTGACTTTTTCCACATTTTATTACGTTACAGCCTTATTCTAAAATGGATTTTTTTTTTATGTCCTCATCAATCTACACACAATACCCCATAATGACAAAGTGAAAACAGGTTTTTAGAAATTTGAGAATTTATATTATTTACATAAGTATTCTGTCCCTTTGCTATGAGACTCGAAATTGAGTTCAGGTGCGTCCTGTTTCCATTGATCATCCTTGAGATGTTTCTACAACTTGATTGGAGTCCACCTGTGGTAAATTCAAATGAATGGACATGATTTGGCAGTGGTGTAAAGTACTTAAGTAAAAATACTTTAAAGTACTACTTTTGGGGTATCTGTACTTTACTATTTATATTTTTGACTACTTTTACTTCACTACATTCCTAAAGAATATTATATACTTTTTACTCCATACTTTTCCCCTGATACCCAAAAGTACTCGTTACATTTTGAATGGGAGAACCTTCCAGAAGGACAACCATCTTTGCAGCACTCCACCAATCAGGCCTTTATGGTAGAGTGGCCAGACAGAAGCCACTCCTCAGTAAAAGGCACGACAGCCCGCTTGGAGTTTGCCAAAAGGCACCTAAAGGACTCTCAGACCATGAGAAACAAGATTCTTTGGTCTGATGAAACCTTGATTGAACTCTTTGGCCTGAATGCCAAGTGTCACGTCTGGAGGAAACCTGGCACCATCCCTACGGTGAAGCATGGTGGTAGCAGCATCATGCTGTGGGGATGTTTTTCAGCGGCAGGGACTGGGAGACGAGTGGTTTCAGGACAAGTCTCAATGTCCTTGAGTGGCCCAGCCAGAGCCCGGACTTTAACCCAATCGAACATCTCTGGAGAGACCTGAAAATAGCTGTGCAGCGACGCTCCCCATCCAACCTGACAGAGCTTGAGAGGATCTGCAGAGAGGAATGGGAGAAACTCCCCAAGTACAGGTGTGCCAAGCTTGTAGCGTCATAGCCAAGAAGACTCGAGGCTGTAATCGCTGCCAAAGGTGCTTCAACAAAGTACTGAGTAAAGGGTCTGAATTATTACGTAAATGTGATATCAGTTTATAAAAAAACAACTTAATCCATTTTAGAATAAGACTGTAACTTAAAGTGGAAAAAGATGATCGCTGCCCTACATAGTGTACTACTTTGACCAGAGCCCCATGGGCCCTGTTAAAAAAAAGTTGTGCACTATATAGGCAGTACGGTGCAATTTGGGACGCAGCCCTAGATTTCCTCCATTAGTTCCACTCTCTCTGTCATTTCTACTTCTGGGATTCTTCTTGTTCTGTTTATCTGAATCGCCTTGAACTTGAGCAAGGCACTTAACCCCAATTGCTCCTGTAAGTCGCTCTGGATAAGAGCGTCTGCTAAATGACTCATGTAAATGTAAACTATAGCACTTTGCCACTTCACAACTGCTTTGCCTCAGTCTGACCGTTGAAGGGTTTTTGTTAGTGTTCTGCTGACTGTTTGTTTGGAAGCTGCTGCTTCCCTCCTCTTCCCCATAAGCTCATTAAAATGTTTGCATGTCCTCAGCAAAAGCTTGTGCGGAAGTGGCTCAATGTATGCCAGATACTGCAAATAAAGAGCATTGCTATTCTGACTGAGTGACATCTAGGAAGGTTCAGCATAGCAGACACTTAACTTTGCCATGCTGCTGTGCATTGGAAGTGAGCCTATTAGTGTCTGTCTACTTTCACTTTCAAGTTCTTAGAAGATTTGGTAACTTATTACTAGCTTTCCCGTGTGTTTTTCTGTATTTTGATGTATTGTAAAAATATGTTGCTTTACCACAGCAAGCTTAGGCTATACGGCCCAGAAAAGGGATTACATTTACATTTTACATTTACGTCATTTAGCAGACGCTCTTATCCAGAGCGACTTACAAATTGGGATATGGGGAGCCTAATTCAAAATGAGCACAGCTCTTGTTGACTCAAACCAAAAACAGTTATAGTTCATGCTTTTCTCATTATTTACAGACTACTAAATATAGGCTTGTCTTTCAGGGGCCCTGCTTGAGACAGGCTAGTTTAGCTTCTTCTTTGTCTTTTAGCTCTCTGAACAGACATCAGGCAGAGACGGCTTGTAGTGCAGCAATCGTCCTTTTGACCACCAAGCAGACATGAACTTCCTCTCTGTGGGCGTTATGTGTATCATTACAATGGCCTTGCCACTGCTCCAATTGATGCTGTAGTTCAGCCCCAATAGCCTCCATCAGTGCAGAGTGTAAGATTAGCTTAAGGTTAAACTGGGGGAGCTTGTTTAGTCTTGCATGCTCTGTTCAAGTTAGTTTCCTGCCCTTGATTGGGGCGACTGCTCTTATCAGCGCTTACTGTAGTAGAACATAATGTGTAGGCGGGCACAATGTCTCGTAACACGGAACAATGTTCTGTGTCATACAGCACCACCAAAAACAGTTTCTCAAAAGGCCTTTTGGTGTGTTTTTCCATAAGTAATTCAGCGTTATCGCATCAAAAGAGACAACTTCCCAAGTGTGTAGTTGTATTGCCTATTTTCACTACAAACGTTCATTTTAAAGTTGACCGATAACCTTCAGAAGAGCTTCCTAACCTTTTTTTCTTCCTGTCTACAGTGTGTCGAGACTTTGCTGTGCTGGAGGACCACTGCCTGGCCCATAACCTCCAGGAGCAGGAAAGTAAGTATACTACCACCACACCTCAGGCTGACCTGGAGTCAGCTTCTCCCTCCCATCCCTTATGGTTTCAGGTTGTCCTGGCTGTTACCAAAGCAGCGCTCTCAGGGCAACAGAGAACAGACCCTATTTCGAATGTGTCAGGCAAAGGCTGAGTGCTTTGGGCTGGGATCTGTTCAGGGCATTATTTTCCTTTAAATCTGGATGCAGACAGTCTGCTTCATGCACAGTAAACTTCCTCCATTGAAGTCTCATTTACGTCAAAGCAATTACAAGATCTTTTCTATAATAGCCCCAACTATTTTATGCAAACTGCTCCTCCAGTCTAGAAAGAGCACTTTGAGATTCCTTTGCAGCATATTTCATAAAGTATTCCAAGCTCCCATTTTGTCTTCTTTACGATAATACAGACTATCAAACATTTTCCACACATTTAGAATTTAGAAAGGTCTAATGAATCCACACATTTTCCCTCCGAAAATCGGTCATGTCTGACAACGTAAACCACAGCGTCAGCGGAAGCGGGCAGGAAGCAGCCATAAAACACGAGCATAGCAACTGAGTGCGCTTCTCCCAGCAGGCTGGCACTGCAGGACTCCTGCTAGGCTGCAACCACAGCATTAGCACATTGGGGCTGTGGTGTGTGTTAGTGGGCTGGGCGTTTGCTCACTGTGTCTGGATCACATTAATGCCCATCTACTGTAGGACAACAACAAATTCCAGTCTGGTCTCTCTGTCAGACTGGTCTAGTCTGGGTGGACGTTAGGCCAGCACAATCAGATGAGCAGGGATTGTGATGTCATCGGGGAAACGCCTCATCTGCTTCAATTACTCAGACGCGGGAAGTACAGGAGCATCATGGCAAAAACTGAAAGACTGGCCAATAGTTTCTACCCTCAGACCAGGCTGCTGAATAGCCACCACTAATCAGCTACCTGCTCCCCCCTCCCCCTATGGACATTCCCCACGCTACTCCCCCCACCCCATACACACACACACACACACCCTCAACTCTCACTTACCTTACCTGCCTCTCCCCCTATGGACAGTCTTTCTCCTGCTGCCTCCTCCCCTTCTAGTCCCCCTATGGACATTCCACCCCCACCCTCCCCCCAGCGGACTTTACTCTGCCCCCACCCCAACAACATTCATCACTGTTGCAGTTGTTAATATGTACAGTACCAGTCAAACGTTTGGACACACCTACTCATTCAAGGGTTTTTCCTTATTTTTACTATTTTCTACGTTGTAGAATAATAGTGAAGACATCAAAACTATGAAATAACACATATGGAATCATGTAGTAACCAAAAAAGTGTTAAACAAATCAAAATATATTTTAGATTCTTCAAAGTAGCCACCCTTTGCCTTGATGACAGCTTTGCACACTCTTGGCATTCTCTCAACCAGCTTCATGAGGTAGTCACCTGGAATGCATTTCAATTAACAGGTTTGCCTTCTTAAAAGTTAATTGGTGGAATTTATTTCCTTCTTAATGCATTTGAGCCAATCAGTTGTGTTGCTTGAAGCTTAAGATTTTCACTGTACCCTGCAATCACACCTGCAACCCTGTACATGTGACTATTAAACAATCTGAATCTCAAAGATTCTACGATTTTTCCTGAGAAACCTGTGTGTGTCTGTGGTGTTTGTATCCCTGGATTAGGCTAATTCTTGTCTGCATCTTTGTGTTTTTAGATGAACGTGTCATCTTTGCCATGTCAGTGTCTTTGTGTCTGCCTGTGGGTGTGTACTTGTCTGTGTGTGTCTAATCATAATTGGGTTGTAAATGTGTGCCGTTCATCTTTCGGTGACGCCCCTTTTCACACAGTTTCACTCAAAGCCTAGGTTTCTGTCATGGACGTCTATCTTACTGTAAGCACTATCATTGGCTGCCTCCCAGTATTCCTTAGGCCCTGAGGTCAAAAAGTCACTCTTCCCAGAATAGGTTAAAGCCCAGGCCAGACATAACTTCTTCTTCCTACTTACACAAATAAACATTATCCCCCAGATGGCCAGGGGTTACAGCATAAGCCCTCGTATCCCTCAGTAGAGCTGGGCAATATGGACAAAAATCCATATTGGGATAAATTGCCTGAATTGATGCGCTAACGATAAATAGAACGATACGTTTATAACAATGTGCACCACAGTTTAAAACATAATATCCTTTAAAGTCCAGACCGGCCTGCTCATTAGGCAGGATTAGGCGGCCGCAGATATAGTATATGGTAGAAAGAGTATGTGGCCTTTTCTGTAGCCTACAGGCTGGAGATAAAATGTATGACAATGTAATGAGACTGAAACTTTTTACATCATGCAGGTTTCGCCGATCAAATAGCTTAACCTATATGGCACCCAATCAAATAACAAATGCGCTGACATATTAACAAACAACATATCCTAAAAACAGGACAGGTCAAAGTAAAATGGACAATATGGAATTGACAGTCAGGCTACTCACAATTGCTGTCCAGGAGTTTCATCCGATGGGCTAAGTTGTCATGATCAGCGGTTTCAAGTTTGTATCCGTATATTTTTTATGAGCTGATCATAGCGAAAATGAAAATGTTTCTTAATTTCTCGCTGTGTAAACGCATTACAAAAAGGCTCAGGATAACTGATATTCAGCCAATTTGATTAGTCTCAGGAATCAGGACTAATAAAGCCATATGCAACGGCCCGTTTTACAAACGGTGGGCCTAATATGGATGGGCATTCATCAAATTATATTGCAGGCCGACCAAGGTATGCTACACCCCAGTAAGCACGGACCATAGGCAATGTCTTTTGGATGTCTTTTTTTTACCACATACAGTGTGGGAAAAAAGTATTTGATCCCCTGCTGATTTTGTACGTTTGCCCACTGACAAAGACATGATCAGTCTATAATTTTAATGGTAGGTTTATTTGAACAGTGAGAGACAGAATAACAACAAAAAACTCATGTCAAAAATGTTATAAATTGATTTGCATTTTAATGAGGGAAATAAGTATTTGACCCCTCTGCAAAACATGACTTAGTACTTGGTGGCAAAACCCTTGTTGGCAATCACAGAGGTCAGACGTTTCTTGTAGTTGGCCACCAGGACCTTTAATGTGCTTCTTCTTGAGCCACTCCTTTGTTGCCTTGGCCGTGTGTTTTGGGTCATTGTCATGCTGAAATACCCATCCACGACCCATTTTCAATGCCCTGGCTGAGGGAAGGAGGTTCTCACCCAAGATTTGACGGTACATGGCCCCGTCCATCGTCCCTTTGATGCGGTGAAGTTGTCCTGTCCCCTTAGCAGAAAAACACCCCCAAAGCATAATGTTTCCACCTCCATGTTTGACGGTGGGGAGGGTGTTCTTGGGGTCATAGGCAGCATTCCTCCTCCTCCAAACACGTCGAGTTGAGTTGATGCCAAAGAGCTTTATTTTGGTCTCATCTGACCACAACACTTTCACCCAGTTCACCTCTGAATCATTCAGATGTTCATTGGCAAACTTCAGACGCCCCTGTATATGTGCTTTCTTGAGCAGGAGGACCTTGCGGGCGCTGCAGGATTTCAGTCCTTCACGGCGTAGTGTGTTACCAATTGTTTTCTTGGTGACTATGGTCCCAGCTGCCTTGAGATCATTGACAAGATCCTCCCGTGTAGTTCTGGGCTGATTCCTCACCGTTCTCATGATCATTGGAACTCCACGAGGTGAGATCTTGCATGGAGCTGCAGGCCGAGGGAGATTGACAGGTCTTTTGTGATTCTTCCATTTGCGAATAATCGCACCAACTGTTGTCACCTTCTCACCAAGCTGCTTGGCGATGGTCTTGTAGCCCATTCCAGCCTTGTGTAGGTCTACAATCTTGTCCCTGACATCCTTGGGGAGCTCTTTGGTCTTGGCCATGGTGGAGAGTTTGGAATCTGATTGATTGATTGCTTCTGTGGACAGGTGTCTTTTATACAGGTAACAAGCTGAGATTAGGAGCACTCCCTTTAAGAGTGTGCTCCTAATCTCAGCTCGTTACCTGTATAAAAGACACCTGGGAGCCAGAAATATTTCTGATTGAGAGGGGGTCAAATACTTATTTCCCTCATTAAAATGCAAATCAATTTATAACATTTTTGACATGCGTTTTTCTGGATTCTGTTGTTGTTATTCTGTCTCTCACTGTTCAAATAAACCTACCATTAAAATTATAGACTGATCATTTCTTTGTCAGTGGGCAAACGTACAAAATCAGGAGGGGATCAAATACTTTTTTCCCTCACTGTAGATGGCCATTCCTACATTTAAATTTCAGGCGACACTGTAGGCCAGGGATGGGCAACTCCAGTCCTCTGGGGACTGATTGGTGTCACACTTTTGCCCCAGTTAACACGTCTGACACCAATAATCAACTAATCATGATCTTCAGTTTAGAATGCAATTTATTTGTTTTTTTGAGTCCGGACCAGACATCTATGTTTGGTTCAGATTTTGTCCATTCTGGAACAGCCTTGATTTGGCCCAAACATAGACATCTATAAATTACTTATTTTCAGCTTTCATTGAACCTGATTTCAACGTCCGGAAACTACGTGTTTTCAACGTCCGGAAACTACGTGTTTTCAACGTTTCTCTAGTATAGGCTACTTATCGTAATGAACATTATAAGTGCGATGCGTGATCAATATGGTCAGTGTCGATAATTTACGGTTTATCGTCCCAGCTCTATCCCTCAGCCATAACTATTCACATGAAAAGGCCAGGGAGATTTAAGGTCTATGAGTCTGGACCTCTGACTATTTAGTTGGGAGCCCATTGCTTTCCCACTGCCCTAGGAGGACAGAATGTACCACTCTAGCGATAATGGCTTTCAATCTGTAAAGTTGCTCAAATCCATGGCTTTTCAACACAAAGTTAACTTGTAAGAGAAATACTACACAGGATGATAGGAGGTACAGTTCAGAGTATCCATCCATACCTCTGAATGTGAAGAGCCTATGGATTCTTTTTGGGTCTGTCCTTGTATCAGTCTTCTACCCTCCACTGTCATAGTGCATCATGACATGGCGGGTCCCCTCTCTAACAGAGCAACAGTTCTGGTTTTAGCAGCCAGCCAGCAGTCAGTCTGCGTGGCCTTTGTCCTGGAGGTCACTGGGAATTACTCTTACACAGCCTGGCTGTCCCCTAAATGCACAGTGTCATCCTCACTCTAATCAACAGATGTCTACTGCCCTACAACCAGCTCTGCTGAACCAAAACATTTGGCATGTTTGCATCTGCTGTGAGAGGAAACAACGATTATTTTGACTCAAAAGTCCTCAGGGAGGGATTGCTACAAGCAAGGTTTGGTTCACTCAACCGAAGAACTACTGAGTGCATGGCTGTCACGGTAGGATATAGGACCACTCACATAGGGCCTACTGCTTTAAAGCCCTGGTAGAACCGTCAAGCACCAGCAGACATGAATGGCCTTGGGTTGAGATCATAAATAGGCTACATTCTAAAAGCATCCGTCATGTTTCTTAACCCAGGCAGAAGCCAGATGAGCAAGCTAGGCCTGACATTGTCTCTCCATCACATTAGTCCTATAAACTAGGGCTTTGTTATGCCTCTGAATGATTTCCCTTTTCATTGTCCAGCATCACTGTCCCATGCATTATTTGTCATTGTCCAATGCCATCTGGCCCTCTTGGTTGCCAGCCACAGAGAACTGGTAGTCCATACAGAAACTTCATTTCCCAGACTTCTCTGTGTATAGACTGAGGCTAGTTGTAGTGTCTTAGACCAGATTGTGGCCCACTGATTAGGAGGATATCAGACCAAGGTTGAGTTAACAAGAAACCTTTATCCTGTGTTCTTAGAAAAAAAGATGACAGCAAACCGTAATTTGTTTTCCCCCGGAGAAAAAAATAGCATTGAACGTAACAATATATTTTGTTCTCTGGCGTCGTATGTTTGCCCTAAACATTTTGCGAGGCACCGTAAACCCACCACACAATCAATCAGCATTGTCCTCAAATCGATATTTCAGTCTATTGGTTTCCTATCGCCATGATATACTGCTTCCCATCTTTGTCGTCTCGCAATCTCGCCGCGGGAACTTCATGGAGCATCTCTTGTAAATTGTGGTGTAATTTGGTCCTTTTCACGTGAAACTTACGAGTGGATCAATAGCCAGTCCAGTGGAGCTGAATGAGTAGCAAGGGAGTGAGTGATGCTCCTTCACACGTTTTGGGCCGGGAGTGCGTCACCAAGGATTTAGAGCCTGCCCTGTCCAGGTTTATGGCCCTGTCTTGTCACATGTAGCCACTCAGCCTTGGAATGGCAGCTCCTCATCAAGTTGATCAAGTGGGCTAGTTCGTCATAGCCAAGCTCAATGAGTCAGGCCCAGTAACGTCAGGGCCGACGCGTCTGTGTTATCCCCTCTCGTCTCATCCATAGAACTCTAAACAGCAATTCTACTACTCAAAATGTATGTCCCAACTGTTTGCTAAATAAACATACTCTCAACTCCAAGTACTTGCTTCCCAGTCCTGCGGTTTAAAAGGCACCAAAACAAATAAACCTGAGGGTTGTGATTGATGTCGTCCATCTTGTTCCTCAGCGTTGCAGTTTCGCCAGATGAACTGACTGAGGATGTCCCAAATGGCACCTTATTCCCTACATAGTGCACTACTTTTGACCAGAGTCCTAAAAGGGTGCTGTTTGGGAGGCAGCTTGTGAGAGTGATTCATGTTAATGCCTTGATTGTGTAATAGTTCTGAGCATGGTGTTTGTTGATTTTGTCCTTGCAGTCGAGAGCCACTTGGCATCCAACGTCCACAAGAGCCGTCTGGTGCAGCAGGACGTAGCATTGGCCAAGCAGCTGCAGGAGGAGGAGGACCGGAGGGCCCAAGCCAAGGCCAAGAGACAGCACCGGGACATGTGAGTGACACAGATACTATTATGAACCTGGTCGTTTGGGTCTTGGATGCTGATTGGCTGAAAGCTGTGGTATAGCAGACATTATAAACTGGGTGGTTCAAGCCCTGAATGCTGATTGGCTGACAGCCGTGGTATACAGTGCATTTGGAAAGTATTCAGACCCCTTCACTTTTTCCACAATTTGTTACGTTACAGCATTATTCTAAAATTGATTTGTTGTATCCCTCATCAATCTACACACAATACCCAATAATGACAAAAGCAAAAACAGGTTTTTAGAAATGTTTGCAAATTTATTAAAAATAAAAAGAATTATATAACACATTTACATAAGTATTCAGACCCTTTACTCAGTACTTTGTTGAAGCACCTTTGGCAGCGATTACAGCCTCGAGTCTTCTTGGGTATGACACTACAAGCTTGGCACACTTGTATTTGGGGAGTTTCTCCCATTCTTCTCTGCAGATCCTCTCAAGCTCTGTCAGGTTGGATGGGGAGCGTCGCTGCACAGCTATTTTCAGGTCTCTCCAGAGATGTTAGATCGGGTTCAAGTCCGGGCTCTGGCTGGGCCACTCAAGGACATTCAGAGACTTGTCCCGAAGCCACTCCTGCGTTGTCTTGGCTGTGTGCTTAGGGTCGTTGTCCTGTTGGAAGGTGAACTTTCACCGCAGTCTGAGGTCCTGAGCGCTCTGGAGCAGGTTTTCATCAAGGATCTTGCTGTACTTTGCTCCGTTCATCTTTCCCTCAATCCTGACTAGTCTCCCAGTCCCTGCCGCTGAAAAAACATCCCCACAGCATGATGCTGCTGCCACCACCATGCTTCACGTAGGGATGGTGCCAGGTTTCCTCCAACCAGGCGAAACAGTTCAATCTTGGTTTCTTGAGAGTTCTTTAGTCCTCCAGGTGGGCTGTCATGTGCCTTTTACTGAGGAGTTTCTTCCTTCTGGCCACTCTACCATAAAGGCCTGATTGGTGGAGTGCTGCAGAGATGGTTGTCCTGAGGTCTACGGACAATTCCCTCAACCTCATGGCTTGGTTTCTGCTCTGACATGCACTGTCAACTGTGGGACCTTATATAGACAGGTGTGTGCCTTTCCAAATCATGTCCAATCAATTGAATTTACCACAGGTGGACTACAATGGATGATCAATGGAAACAGGATACACCTGAGCTCCATTTCGAGTCTCATAGCAAATGGTCTGAATACTTGTGTAAATAAGTTATTTCTGTTTTTTTGCAAACATTTCTAAAAATCTGTTTTCGCTTTGTCATTATGGGGTATTGTATGTAGATTGATGAGGAAATGTTTTTCGTTAATCAATTTTAGAATAAGGCTGTAACGTAACAAAATGTAGAAAAAGGGAAGGGGTCTGAATACTTTCCGACTGCACTGTATATCAGACCGTATACCAAGGGTATGACAAAACATTTATTTTTACTAGCAATAAGGCACCTCAGGGGTTTGTGGTATATGGCCAATATACCACGGCTAAGGGCTGTATCCAGGCACTCCGCGTTGCGTTGTTCTTAAGAACAGCCCTTCATGCCTCATTGCTTAAATATGCCACTCCCCCTCGGGCCTTATTGCTTAATTATACACTTCATTCTACCACAGACTCTCTACTATGACCATAACACAGCAGCAGACATTTGGGTGTCAGATGTACAACACACTCGCATCCACACAAACATTTAGTTCACTACTGCCATCTTAACCTAACCAAAGGTTCTAGAGACACTCATAGATAACCATGATCTAACCCACACCTTAACTCAAGTCATAGATGGCACAGGTACATATGAGTCACACACATACTGTGTTATGCACACCATGACATTATGCTCAACACCCTACCACCGCCCAACACAACAGCCACATTTAGGGTGTCAGATGTGGAAGAAAGTGCTCCACTTTTTTTCGCCAAATATGCTGGCTCACGTCGCAGTGAAAGTTGTGCTCCAAAGTCAGCCTTCCTCACACGCTCGCTAGCAGCAGGGCAGCGCCCCCAAGAGAGAGGCCAGATGCTCTGCCGCCCATACAGCCCGGCTAATGCTGCTTGGCATGCTGGGAGCTCCCGCTGCCATCTTCTCTGCCCTTGCCCAGTGTGTTTTTCTTTATTTCTTTATTTCTCTCTCTCTCTCTCGTTCTCTCGTTCTCTCTCTCTCGTTCTCTCTCTCTCTCGTTCTCTCGTTCTCTCTCTCGTTCTCTCTCTCTCTCTCTCTCTCGTTCTCTCTCTCTCTCTCGTTCTCTCTCTCTCTCTCGTTCTCTCTCTCTCTCTCTCTCGTTCTCTCTCTCTCTCTCTCTCGTTCTCTCTCGTTCTCTCTCTCTCTCTCTCTCGTTCTCTCTCTCTCTCTCTCTCTCTCTCTCTCCCTCCCTCACACATGCACTCTAGACACAAACACATTTTAATATTGTAGTACTGTACATTTCATATTGTTTTATTTTTCATTTAGGCTGTTTTGTAGGGATGTGGGATAAAATCGATACAGTTACATAACGGGATATTATTTTAGACAATATTTTTGCAATAGTTGGCTGTACCTTCACCAAAACTCTAGTATTTTTATTTCATAGTTTGTTCTTCATTTTCTTTTAAAATAGGGAGACAATTTTATTGTATTTTATTTCCATAACAAATCAAAACTAGTTTTCTCATGGCTCTCTCTTGTCCCTCTGCAGCAGACATATGGTGAGCAATATGTTTGGAACATCGAATCGCAATAAAATCACAGTATCGAATCACAATACATATAGAATTGTGCGATTTCAAGTAGGGTACCTGAATTCAAATAGGAGCCATTTGCTGAAATTCAAATGGAAGTCTATTAATTTTGGCAATGCACTCATACTGTTGTTATTGGCAATCTCCACTGTTTTAAAAGGACCAGGCATTATAAAACTGAAAATAAATAGCATACATATTTGCATATTGGCATATTCTTCCTAATAATCACAGTCAGCTCGGATATGATCAGGCTGAGTCTCAGATGCTGTGCTTCTGAATCTGTCAGCTGACAACACACACACCCAGGTCGTTGGAGTGGAGGCTATATGCGTGACGGATCGGTAGCGAGACGTCCCATCTGCCTAATCTCTGACCCGTTATAGTCTGCCCTGGCACCCTGAGCCAACCCTTCTACAGTTCAATGCATCAACTATCACAGCCAGAATGTATTAGCCTAGCTATCACAAATACAGTGTGATAAGACGTCTATCACAACTTTATTACACTGGATAAATCTGTTTCGTAACATGAAGAGACCAAAAGGAAGAAGACTGAAACAGGGAGGGACTACTTGAACTCTGCCAATAAGAAATACAGAAAGAGGGATATGCTATCGAGTTAGCGCTTGATTAGTCAATCAAATGTATTTATAAAGCCCTTTTTACATCAGCAAATGTCACAAAGTGCTTATACAGAAACCCAGCCTAAAACTCCAAACAGCAAGTAATGCAGATGAAGAAGCACTAACATCCTGGTAGCACTAGCATCCTTGTTGTGTTCTGTGAAAGCCCTTGTTATTGCCACTAGTGTTATGGAGTGGTGTAGTATGGATAAGATGCAAATAGGCCTACTATCCATACAATAACTTTGGGCAGGCTACAGGTTTTGGGGTAGTTGACTGTTCTGTTTCTGCTTCTAATGTTTTGTCTCCTCTTGTTTGGCTTCTTAACTCCCGACACACACACACACACACACACACACACACACACCCCTAGTGAGCGCAGCGACAATGAGATTGCCCAGGAGATTCAGGAGGAATTGGTGCGACAGGCGGAGCAGCAGCGCAAGCAGGAGGAGAAGGATGCGGTAAGTGACACTATACCACCCACACCCAATCAACAGCTCCGGGGTGAAGTTTCCCCTAGGTACAGATCTAGGATCAGCTTCCCCTTCCCCAATCCTAACCAGAACCATTACTGGGGAAAATGCTAAACTTACCCAAGATCAGGGTCTAGGGGCAACTTCACCCTAAACCCAATCAACATGGGTGTACCTCCTCTACCCTACCACTACTGTAGGAGCGATGGGTCACCATGGGCGGGTCACCTGATTGGGCTATTCAAATCCACTACTAGTATTACACCCTGTACTTGTTTATTCAACTTTAGCGTTAGAAATGAATGTCTAGCCCAATGGTGATCTCATTATTGCTCTATTGGCACCCGACCTGGGTTCAAATACTATTTTGAATCATTTGAAATACTTTGTATGTGCTTGATAGAGCTTACCTGGTTCAATGGAACCAATAGAACTGTCCCAAAACATCAAACCACTAGCCCAGGCAGGCTAAAGCAAATGCTAAAAGTATTAAAAGGTTTAAAATAGGCTAGTATTTGAATCCAGGTCTGATTGATTGGCACTGTGCATATACAGGGCCATACTACTGATTCCTCATAGGCTACTTTTTAAATTGTAATCCTCAGTGAAAAACCGCTCATCTCTGTGAGAAATCCAGGATAGAAATAACAAGCGAGGTGTCAGCAGTTTGAAGTGGTTTGTTTATTAATGTGTGTGTGTGTTTGTCTGCGCTCGCGCGTCTGTGTGTGCGTGCCTGTGTGTCTGTCTGTGTGTCTGTGCGTGTGTTTCCAGGCCATCGCTCGTAAGCTGCAGGAGAAGGAGATGAAGGAGGAGAGGAAGAGACAGAAGCAGCTGGAGGCCAACTTTGAGGAGGAGTACTACGAGGATAAAGGAGGTGGGTCTAGCGCCCCCTGTCTGTGTCTCAAGGATCTAGGATTCTATTCCTCTGTTGTTGGAGGGAGGGATATGGTTGGGGTGGGAGTGTCTGGGTACATCACACATGCATGCATGCGTGTGTGGTGGGGTGGGTGGGTTATGGCGAGGGGTGAATTGGAAAGTTCATACAGTGCGTCATATAGTAGTGTGTTCTTGGTTAGGGATGGAGATGCATGGCGTGTGTGTGGAGTGGTGCGTGCGTTAGAGTAGGGTTGATTTTAGGTCGAGGATTTAGGAGGGCTGTTTCAAGCACATAGTTGACCTTGAGGGAGAGTGTGCGTACTGCGTAGATGCTAAGGTAAAAAGGAGTCGTTTGTCATCGCTCTCTCGCTCTCTCTCTCTCTCTCTCTCTCTCTCTCTCTTGCACACACACAGAGTGGTTTTGCTCCTTAGTGAGCTGAGACAGTGTTTTGCAGGGCTGCGAGAACAGCTTTGACTTCACTGCAGCAATAAGGCTCCATCTTAAACAGTTAGAAGCTTGCCTACTGTCAGAATAACCAAACAACTTTAAGGAGCCTTTTGGCAGTTAATGTTTCTTTCATAGTCGGTTCCAGCCTCCCCATCCCCCTGCCTTAAAACAGTAAGACATTTGTCGTTAATAATTGTAATATGTCTCATTGGAAAGTGGTGGGCATTAGGCATTTTACCTTATTCACTGAGCCCTTGCTGGGGTAGAAGGTAGAAGCTCTTTCAGGCCTCACTGCTAGAGGCACAGGTATGTGTATGGATGAGCAGGCTGTGTGTGTGTGTGCGGGAGGTATTTTTAATTGGTTACTTTAATGTTCTCCAGCACCCCGTAAAACCCAGCTCTTTCCTCTCCAGCTGGCACACCCACAGTGGGGTCCGGTTGGCTTGACGTAGGCTGAGGTTTCCTGCAGGCCCAGACCCACCTGATTGCTGCCTAGCTACTTGGATGTAGACAAAGAAGACGAGGAGGCATATTTGACCAGGGCCTCTCTCAATTTCACTATTACACCTAAAGATGTGGAGTAAAGCTTCTCTTCTCCCGAAAGTCACTTTTAAAGAAGCAGAGAGAGAATGGTCAGTGATTTCTTACTAAACTACACAAGCCGCAGCTAAGGCTGTGGTTACAGTACGTAGGTTAGGTGTGGATGACACACACACAAACACACACACACAGGTTTTCCCTCCGTCTCTGTGTGTTGACATGAACAGGGTTGAAGGGACGTTCACTGCTGTCAGGAATGTTCTGCTTTCTTGTTGTCTTTCTGCAAGGATCTATTTCCTAGTGAAAGGCATTTTTCTATATCCACAAACCGTCTTGAGTAGGCGTGCTGATCTAGGATCAGTTTTGCCGATTAGATCCCAATGAATAAGATTACATGGATGGGGGGGGGGGACCTGATCCTAGATCAGCACTCCTGCTCTGAGACGCTTTATGAATATGGGCCAAGAACTATAGCCTCATATACAGTTCTACCCTGTGTGTGTGTGTACATGCTGTCTGGCTGAGCATTTTAAACCTCAAATACCCTTGCACACACACACACACACACACACACACACACTCTGCCATGTCTTATCTCTGGCGTGTCGTTTCCTCTATTCGTGGGATTGGCTGCCCCTCTTAGGAAGTGAGTAAGGGAGGGGGCACTGCCTGGCTGCCATGTTTGTCTTAATCCTCCAAATCATGGAGAGACGGTTGGTTTAACGTTCAGCCTCTTCTACGCAGATAAACAACTGGAAAGAGAGGAGGAGAGAGAAGAGAGGGAGAGGAGACGGAGGAAGGAAGGAAGACAAGATATCCAGGCTTTGCCTCAGTTTTTTATTAAGAGACAGAAATAGGCTAGAGAGAATAATTTCCACAATGTTGCAGTTAGAGCATGACAACTGCTCAGCTTTAACAGATATTCAGCACACGCTCATTAGTTAGCTAATATACCTTTGGCAGTTGACTGTGAGAGCAAAGTAGGCTAGTTCCTCAAGCTACCATTCGAAACCAGCCCAGGTTGAGGGTGGAACTTTTTAAACAATGACTTCACTGTCATTAAGGAGACATTAGCACTAAATGTGTTACGTAGGTTTGTATATTCCCTCACCTTATTTCAAAAGTTAAACATAAACAGTTGTTTCAGTTGATGAGATTAGCTTCACCAACAGCTCCAGGATGACTGACATTCCATTCAGCTGACGACAGGCTGAGAAATAACTGGCACACACACACACACTTGTGTGCTTTCCACGTTTGTTTTTACTCAAATGCAGGCCTGTGATTCGTCAGTGCATAGTAGGAATGTCGACTGTGGTTGTAACAGTTCACTTACCATAACCCGGGGGTTCCCAAACTTTTTTGGCACAAGACCCCATTTTGCGACCTCAGCATATATAAAAAATAAAATAAAAAGTGATGTAATCAAAGGCCATTGTTTACGTTTTTAATTGGAGCTATGACTGTCTATTACAAATCTGTCTGACAGTACTTTTGACCGTATTTCAATCTGAAGGAAGTATGGTTTGAAGTGACTGAAATGCATCAGAAAGGGAAGTTCAGAAGATCATCAGACAATAATTTTCAATGATATTCTGTGTAAAGAACATCATCATTGATGTTCTTTTTCCCACAGTCTGATTTTGTGCCTGGTCTTGTCCATGCTGTCCTGTGCGGCTTGAGGGAAACAGTCTTATCTTTCAGTGATGGGGTCATAATATTTTGTAGCTTAAACCGTTCAAATGATAGAGCCACGTGTAGGAAGAAAACAGAAACCAATCTGTTTATTACAACCGCATATAGCGGCTACTGGTTCTATGAACCAAGCTTGAATTTGATTTTTTTATTTCTGATTTCTCGCTCACAACCCCCATTTTCAAATCAGGTGACCCCACACACCCCTAGTTTGGTAAACGCTGCCATAAGCTGATTATTATTTTCACAGCCAATGTTTTTTAACGGTTCAATTTCAAGTGCCTCCAACCACAGCTCAATACACATGAAAGCTATTGATTTGCATCTCTTCGGTACGACGCACTCTAGGAGGTTGCGTCTGTCAAATACCACAAATTACTACAACCATGCCTGCCTACCACACATGACTATACTATGTCCATATTGTTCCATTACTTTCTCATGGATGTCACTGTCACTGAATGTCATAATATGAATGCCTGCATGTCATCCCTTCTCCCTGTCTGAGGTGCTTGGAGCTTTAGCTTTGTTTTACCTCGGCTATAGATGTGCAGGGATCGGCTAACTAGCCCTCCATGTTGGCTTCAAACTTCCCATGATAATAACATCCTACTCTGCATTCTAACTCCGATCCAATTGTCTGGGAATATTTGGAGCCAAAATGGCACCCATTTAATTATCAAACTTAAACTGAGTTTGCCGAAACTGTACAGTATATCCATGGCTCAACATTTAACATTGTACATGATGAACCCTCAGTGTCCTCACATGCAGGTGCTGTGACTTAACTAACCCTGTGTGCTCACTAACCAACCCAGTTTTGCTCACATCTGTCATTGTCTTGTTCCATCCATCCATGTCTTCCTTCCATTCTCCACCACCTCTCCACATCGACCCCTCATCCCTTCCCTCAACCCAGCCATCCGAGCCCCTCTGGACCTGGATGACAAACCCAAACCTCGTTCGAACTCCCACTCGCCCGAGTCGGATCCCCTTACCCCGGGCTCACGACGCGACCTCTCCCCTGAGTACGGTTCTTTTGAGCCTAGCAGGACCAGATACCCCCGATATGACCCTGTAGAGCCTAGCACCAGTGGTAGTTCCAGATACCCCGAGCCCCATTTAGAGAGTAGGGGAGAGGGTAGCAGGAGCAAGCATGGAGACCCATACCCCGAGGACCACCTCTCCAATAGCAGGGGGAAACATGGGGGCAGGTACCCAGACTACCACCACCCCACCGAGGGTAGAAGTAGAGGGAAGGGGGGCCAGAGGAGCCGAGACCCCCAGGGGTCCCAGTCCACCTTCTACCAAGACAGCCATGATCCCAGGAGACACAGAGGGGAGGAGGGGGAGAGGGTGGTGAGGAGGAAGGAGAGGCCCATCCGGCCTCCCCCGCCGTCCCACAACCCTGTGGAGAGAGACAAGGCCTGGGAGAGAGCGAGGGAGAAAGAAAGAGAGTGGGAGAAAGACAGGCAAAGAGAACCCAGGAGAAACAAGGAGAGGGAGAGCGACGCCCCGAGACACGAGGAGAGATCGAGAGACGGACAGAGACACGGGCAGCGATCGCGAGACCGAGAGCATAGCCGAGACAAACACAGAGAAAAAGACAGACACCGAGAAAGAACCAAGAGCAGGGAGCGAGGTCTGGATGAAGACTATGACGAGCCCATCCCCAGTAGCCACAGCCGGGCCTGGACTGTTGGTGGGGAGGAGGCCCCTGGCCCTGGGGATGATGGGAAGTGGGGGCCCATGGCCAGGCTCTACTCTGGCCCCAGTGAGCTGTGTGAGGAGGAGGCCAGAAGGAGCCCCCGCCCCGGCGGGATGGGGAGAGAAAGGGGGGAGAGGAGAGGTCATAGGGAACCTGGGGAGGGGCCCAGCATGGGCACGGAGCGCTCCTACACGCACCCCGCTCCCAGGGAGCCAGGTACGGCACAGCGCCGGGCCCATGGTCGACTTTGTGTGTGTGTGCAGCCTTGATTCGCCCATTGCTGGGAGCTGCTGGTGGTGGTTTTGGCTCCCTAACACAATAATTATTAATCATACACTTATCTTCCTCTTCATCTTCTTCCTCTCTCCTTGGTGTGGCGGCTTTCACTCCTTCCAATATCTGATTATCATAATGGTGATGATTCCACTGTAGTTCACAATAAAAGTCCCTGATTCACAATAAAATTCCCATGGTGGGAAACAGGCCTCTGATGTGAATCAGTTGAATCAGCGGCTGGTGTTAATCATGTGTGGGGTTGATGGCTGAATCTAGGGAGTTGTTGTGATTTGAGCTCAATGGATCCAGTTACATCGGGAAACGCAACATGACAGATGGTCCAGATAGAAATGGACTGTGTAGAACAGATATGATTCCATTATTTGTCAGCTCGTATACATTACATTTCTGTCTGGAACCTTCTTAGCATTGCACTCCAATTCTAGTCCTCAAGGGCTTCCGTGGGTGTGCAGTGTTTTCTCTATCCCTGTGTAGCCCTACTCACCACAACTGATCAAGTACTGGCATTGATTTGCCATCGATTTGTCCAGACATATATTTACTATCTCAGACCGTAAATCAGACATTGATTAAAATGCCAGTGACTTAATCTAGTAGACACTGCACTACAGCCCTGGAGGAATCAGAGTTGGGGATACTGTAGTTATATCATCAACTCTACATAGATCTGTAATAACTTGTATGTGGCGCCCCCTGCAGGTCGTATCGTGCAAGGAGGACCAGGGGGTCGTGGAGCGGTGGTAGTAGGAGGGGAGTACGGGATGGGCGAGGCCACCCAGGGCATCGCCAAGCTGGACCTGAGGGAGCAGGAGATCCTGGACATGGAGGTGGCCCGGAAACTACAGGAGGAGGAAGTCAAGGTGAGAGGACTGGTCAGCGAGTGAATGACACCCTACATTTTAAAACACCCTTATTATGAGATCATAACATCCATATTACATCTTTGTACTGTAATACTCCCTCTCAACATTCAGTTAGCCTCTGCCATAGCCCCCTATTTTAGATGCATTTAGTTACAGCAGCATCATAGATACATTTATAGCTTTCATTATGCAATATTTTTGGGGTTCATTGTCAATTTAACTTCAGGAACTTAACAACAGAATGTAGATATTGGTGATATGCTGACTAGTGTGAACAGTGGAAGCTACATTCAGTAGACCTCAGATTTGTATTGTGCTGTGTAGCGTCAGATGTCTTAGAAGTCTTTGAGAAAGGCTCCGTCTCAACATGGTCACCTCCTATGTTGTCATGATAGAGCCTAGGGACAATAATGTTCTGTGACTCAAACTTGGTTTCTAATTGTTTTTCGGTTCCAGGCAAGCAAGATGGACAAGCGCGCAGCCCAAGTGGCTCAGGATGAGGTAAGTTGGAGGCGGCCACTTCTCTCAGTCTGGAAACTTCTGTCTTTACTGACTGACGTGTCACTCCAACTCTCTCTCTCTCTCTCTCTCTCTCTCGCCCTGTCTCTCTCTCTCTCTCTCTCTCTCGCCCTGTCTCTCTCTCTCTCTCGCCCTGTCTCTCATGGTCATTGAAGTCTCAACTTTCACCACATCAATAAAGCCAGCTATTGAGTGTGACAGTGGTTTACCTTTGTTAAATAAATGTCCCTTGGTCCATTTATTCTCTTTGGTCAGTGTTAACCTGGGGTTATCACATCCCACCACATCATGGATTATATCACCTATTAGTGTATACATATCACATATCAGTGTATACTGCCAGATGCAAGATGAAGCAGCACTATGTGCCTGAAAGGTTCAATCTGGGATTGGAAAAACAAGTGGTCACCCAGCCACTTGTTTAGGTAAACCGCTGAGGGATGGGGCTGGAGAAATGTTACCACTCTCAAATTCATTGGCACAAGGAGTGTGTCTGTTTGTACTAGAACTGTATAGTAACCAGGTTGTATTGGTGTTGTCAGGAGATAGCCCGGCTGCTGATGGAGCAGGAGAAGATGGAGTACAAGAAGTCCAGAGAGAAGGAGAAGCAGGGGATGAGGCTGGAAGAGAGGAGGCCAGAGGGAGGAGACTTCAAGGTGACTCTCCCTCTCTCATCGATGAGATGACTTTATGATTAATAACACTTTATGATTTTAGCACTACATGTACAGTATTTTGATAGTCATCAAGATGGTATTTGTGTTCCATACTGTAATGTTTGTCCCTCGTAGGGATGCATTTATTTTAACTGTTGTGCTGATATGAACAGTTTAGGGTGCCTGTTTTTGTCAACTTGTTGATAATGGATTCCAGACCACAGATGGTGTTTTCCTGTCTGTCTTTCTGTATGTGTGTTCCAGCCAAGCTCAGAGGAGGTAGTGCGTCCCAGGTCACGAGAGGAGGAATACCAGAGGCCCAGGAACCACCAAAAGGCTGCCAGGTACTTGTCTCACTCTATTAGCTACAACAATGTAGAACGCCTTACCTCACTCTATTAAATCAAATCAAATCAAATCAAATTTTATTGGTCACATGCGCCGAATACAACAGGTGCAGACATTACAGTGAAATCTTACTTACAGCCCTTAACCAACAGTGCTTTTATTTTTAACAAAAAAAGTAAAAATAAAACAACAACAAAAAAAGTGTTGAGAAAAAAAGAGCAGAAGTAAAATAAAATAACAGTAGGGAGGCTATATATACAGGGGGGTACCGGTGCAGAGTCAATGTGCGGGGGCACCGGCTAGTTGAGATAGTTGAAGTAATATGTACATGTGGGTAGAGTTAAAGTGACTATGCATAAATAATTAACAGAGTAGCAGCAGCGTAAAAAGGATGGGGTGGGGGGGCAGTGCAAATAGTCCGGGTAGCCATGATTAGCTGTTCAGGAGTCTTATGGCTTGGGGGTAGAAGCTGTTGAGAAGTCTTTTGGACCTAGACTTGGCACTCCGGTACCGCTTGCCGTGCGGTAGCAGGGAGAACAGTCTATGACTAGGGTGGCTGGAGTCTTTGACAATTTTGAGGGCCTTCCTCTGACACCGCCTGGTATAGAGGTCCTGGATGGCAGGAAGCTTGGCCCCAGTGATGTACTGGGCCGTACGCACTACCCTCTGTAGTGCCTTGCGGTCGGAGGCCAAGCAGTTGCCATACCAGGCGGTGATGCAACCAGTCAGGATGCTCTCGATGGTGCAGCTGTATAATTTTTTGAGGATCTGAGGACCCATGCCAAATCTTTTCAGTCTCCTGAGGGGGAATAGGCTTTGTCGTGCCCTCTTCACGACTGTCTTGGTGTGTTTGGACCATGATAGTTCGTTGGTGATGTGGACACCAAGGAACTTGAAGCTCTCAACCTGTTCCACTACAGCCCCGTCGATGAGAATGGGGGCGTGCTCAGTCCTCTTTTTTTTCCTGTAGTCCACAATCATCTCCTTTGTCTTGGTCACGTTGAGGGAGAGGTTGTTGTCCTGGCACCACACGGCCAGGTCTCTGACCTCCTCCCTATAGGCTGTCTCATCGTTGTCGGTGATCAGGCCTCCCACTGTTGTGTCGTCTGCAAACTTAATGATGGTGTTGGAGTCGTGCCTGGCCATGCAGTCATGGGTGAACAGAGAGTACAGGAGGGGACTGAGCACGCACCCCTGAGGGGCCCCCGTGTTGAGGATCAGTGTGGCAGATGTGTTGTTACCTACCCTTACCACCTGGGGGCGGCCCGTCAGGAAGTCCAGGATCCAGTTGCAGAGGGAGGTGTTTAGTCCCAGGATCCTTAGCTTAGTGATGAGCTTAGAGGGCACTATGGTGTTGAATGCTGAGCTGTAGTCAATGAATAGCATTCTCACGTAGGTGTTCCTCTTGTCCAGGTGGGAAAGGGCAGTGTGGAGTGCAATAGAGATTGCATCATCTGTGGATCTGTTGGGGCGGTATGCAAATTGGAGTGGGTCTAGGGTTTCTGGGATAATGCTGTTGATGTGAGCCATGACCAGCCTTTCAAAGCACTTCATGGCTACAGACGTCAGTGCTACGGGTCGGTAGTCATTTAGGCAGGTTATCTTAGAGTCCTTGGGCACGGGGACTATGGTGGTCTGCTTGAAACATGTTGGTATTACAGACTCAGTCAGGGACATGTTGAAAATGTCAGTGAAGACACTTGCCAGTTGGTCAGCACATGCTTGGAGTACACGTCCTGGTAATCCGTCTGGCCCTGCGACCTTGTGAATGTTGACCTGCTTAAAAGTCTTACTCACATCGGCTACGGAGAGCGTGATCACATAGTCATCCGGAACAGCTGGTGCTCTCATGCATGCTTCAATGTTGCTTGCCTCGAAGCGAGCATAGAAGTGGTTTAGCTCGTCTGGTAGGCTTGTGTCACTGGGCAGCTCGCGGCTGTGCTTCCCTTTGTAGTCTGTAATAGTTTTCAAGCCCTGCCACATCCGACGAGCGTCAGAGCCAGTGTAGTACGATTCAATCTTAGCCCTGTATTGACTCTTTGCCTGTTTGATGGTTCGTCGGAGGGCATAGCGGGATTTCTTATAAGCGTCCGGGTTAGAGTCCCGTTCCTTGAAAGCGGCAGCTCTACCCTTTAGCTCAGTGCGGATGTTTCCTGTAATCCATGGCTTCTGGTTGGGGTATGTACGTACGGTCACTGTGGGGACGACATCATCGATGCACTTATTGATGAAGCCAGTGACTGATGTGGTGTACTCCTCAATGCTGTCTGAAGAATCCCGGAACATGTTCCAGTCTGTGCTAGCAAAACAGTCCTGTAGCTTAGCATCTGCGTCATCTGACCACTTTTTTATTAACCGAGTCACTGGTGCTTCCTGCTTTAGTTTTTGCTTATAAGCAGGAATCAGGAGGATAGAGTTATGGTCAGATTTGCCAAATGGAGGGCGAGGGAGAGCTTTGTATGCGTCTCTGTGTGTGGAGTAAAGGTGGTCTAGAGTTTTTTCCTCTGGTTGCACATTTAACATGCTGGTAGAAATTAGGGAGAACGGATTTAAGTTTCCCTGCATTAAAGTCCCCGGCCACTAGGAGCGCTGCATCTGGATGAGCGTTTTCCTGTTGATTTATGGCCTTGTACAACTCATTCAGTGCAATCTTAATGCCAGCATTGGTTTGTGGTGGTAAATAGACAGCTATGAAAAATATAGATGAAAACTCTCTTGGTAAATAGTGTGGTCTACAGCTTATCATAAGATACTCTACCTCATGCGAGCAAAACCTCGAGACTTCCTTAGTATTTGATTTTGTGCACCAGCTGTTGTTTACAAATATACACAGACCGCCACCCCTTGTCTTACCGGAGTCAGCCGTTCTATCCTGCCGATGTAGTGTATAGCCCGCTAGTTGTATGTTATCATTGTCGTCGTTCAGCCACGACTCGGTGAAACATAGGATATTACAGTTTTTAATGTCCCGTTGGTAGGATAACCGTAATCTTAGGTCATCCAATTTGTTATCCAATGATTGAAGATTGGCTAATAGGATTGATGGAAGAGGCAGTTTACTCGCTCGCCGTCGGATCCTTACAAGGCACCCCGATCTACGTCCACGATATCTCCGTCTCTTCCTCACGCGAATGACGGGGATTTGGGCCTTGTCGGGTGTCTGTATGATATCCTTCGCGGCCGCCTCGTTGAAGAAAAAATCTTCGTCCAATACGAGGTGAGTAATCGCTGTCCTGATATCCAGAAGCTCTTTTTGGTTATAAGAGACGATGGCAGAAACATTATGTACAAAATAAATTACAAATAACGCGGAAAAACACACATAATAGTGGTTAGAGGGCTGTAAAACGGCAGCCATCTTCTCCGGCGCTGTTCAGGTATTAGGTACAACAATGTAGAACACCTTATTACAACATTGTAACTCCCCATATGTGTGTGTATGTATGAATATATGTATGTGTTTACAAAAAATATATATATACAGTTGAAGTCGGAAGTTTACATACACCTTAGCCAACTACATTTAAACTCAGTTTTTCACTATTCTTGACATTTAATCCTAGTAAAAATTCCCTGTCTTAGGTCATTTAGGATCACCACTTTATTTTAAGAATGTGAAATATCAGAATAATAGTAGAGAGAATGATTTATTTAAGCTTTTATTTCTTTCATCACATTCCCAGTGGGTCATAAGTTTACATACACTCAATTAGTATTTGGTAGCATTGTTTAACTTGGGTCAAACGTTTCGGGTAGCCTTCCACAAGCTTCCCACAATAAGTTGGATGAATTTTGGCCTATTCCTCCTGACAGAGCTTGTGTAACTGAGTCAGGTTTGTAGGCCTCCTTGCTCGCACACACTTTTTCAGTTCTGCCCACAAATGTTCTATAGGATTGAGGTCAGGGCTTTGTGATGGCCACTCCAATACCTTGACATTGTTGTCCTTAAGACATTTTGCCACAACTTTGGAAGTATGCTTGGGGTCATTGTCCATTTGGAAGACCCATTTGCGACCAAGCTTTAATTACCTGACTGATGTCTTGAGATGTTGCTTTAATATATCCACATACTTTTCCTTCCTCATGATGCCATCTATTTTGTGAAGTGTACCAGTCCCTCCTGCAGCAAAGCACCCCCACAGCATGATGCTGCCACCCGCGTGCTTCACGGTTGGGATGGTGTTCTTTGGCTTGCAAGCGCCCCCTTTTTCCTCCAAACATAACGATGGTCATTATGGCCAAACAGTTCTATTTTTGTTTCATCAGACCAGAGGACATTTCTCCAAAAAGTGCGATCTTTGTCCCCATGTGCAGTTGCAAACCGTAGTCTGGCTTTTTTATGGCGGTTTTGAAGCAGTGGCTTCTTCCTTGCTGAGCGGCCTTTCAGGTTATGCTGATATAGGACTAATTTTACTGTGGATATATATACTTTTGTACCTGTTTCCTCCATCTTCACAAGGTCCTTTGCTGTTGTTCTGGGATTGATTTGTACTTTTTGCACCAAAGTACATTCATCTCAAGGAGACAAATCGCATCTCCTTTCTGAGCGGTATGACGGCTCCGTGGTTCCATGGTGTTTATACGTGCGTACTATTGTTTGTACAGATGAACATGGTACCTTCAGGGGTTTGGAAATTGCTCCCAAGGATGAACCAGACTTGTGGAGGTCTACATTTTTTTTTCTGAGGTCTTGGCTGATTTCTTTTGATTTTCCCATGATGTCAAGCAAAGAGGCACTGAATGTGAAGATAGGCCTTCAAATACATCCACAGGTACACCTCCAAATGACTCAAATGATGTCAATTAGCCTATCAGAAGCTTCTAAAGCCATGACATCATTTTCTGGAATTTTCCAAGCTGTTTAAAGGCACAGTCAACTTAGTGTATGTAAACTTTTGACCAACTGGAATTGTGATACAGTGAATTATAAGTGAAATAATCTGTCTGTAAACAATTGTCGGACAAATTACTTGTCATGCACAAAGCTGTCATCAAGGCAAAGGGTGGCTACTTTGAGAATATAAAATATAAAATATATTTTGATTTGTTTAACAATTTTTTGGTTACTACATGATTCCATATGTGTTATTTCATAGTAAAAATAAAGAAAAACCCTGGAATGAGTAGGTGTGTCCAAACTTTTGACTGGTTCTGTATATATATATATATATATATATATATATATATATATATATATATATATATATATATATATATATATATATATATATATATATATATATATATATATATATGGGGGATTAGAAAAGGATGCAGACAATTACATTGATTGGAAATGATGCATACAATTACATTGATGGAAGCTACAATCTATCTGCAATATTAAAGCTGATCTAACCCTCCCTCACCCCCCAAAAATAAAATAATAGTAATAATAACATTAACACCCCTTATTACAACATTGCAACGCCTATAATTACAACATTAATACAACCTTATTACAACATTGTAACACCCCTTATTACATTAGAAACAACCTTATTATAGCAATATAATGCCCTTCTTTCTCTCTCGCTTTCTCTCCCCTCTCTCTCAGGCCTCCTCAACCTCATCCACATGACTATGAGAATGTGGAGACCAGCTACAGGTACTCAGAGAGCCACTACTCTTCCCGCGCTCCAGCCAGACCTGAGGCTGCTTACAAAGGTCAGTCCAGCTACTGGAGGCCCAGGCTCTGTTTGGGCCTTAACTTACATTACCTGACTAAATCAGTGTGTGCATTGAGTGCCGTGTTAGACGGTTCAATAGGACTCCTATTGTCACGTGATCGTTTTAGTGCAGATGTAACATCTTTCCAATGCAGTCAACTATCCAGCATACCACATTGTTGACAAACGCTAAATGGATTAGTTAATTTCTTAAGAGATCTCCCACTGTTTTGGATACTCTACCATATACACACACATACAGTTGTGGTTACAGTGAAAAGTCTTAAGTGTATGTCTGCTCTCTCTCTCTCTCTGTCTCTTCCAGGTACCTATTACAGGCAGTGACCCTGGCTTCCTAAATTATCCATCTGTGACTTTGTTGTTCCTTTTTTCTTTTTTTTACTCGTCGTTGCTGTATTTGTAAAAACTCTGAAGACTTTATATTGACCAAGAGCCTTGGGACAATGTACCTAGTCGTTGGCGGTGTGATTCTCCAACATGCTCAGTTGGCCGAGAGTTCGGGAAGCGTGCGGCTGAGAGCGGAAACCCAAACGCTTTCATCATCTATTCCTTTTATTATTTGTTCTTTCTTTTAATTGGTGCGACAGCCAAGACAACCCAAAGGAGATACTTTGTGATATTCTACTCCTGCTGGCTTTTAGCTGTTGAGGAGGAGTAGGATGATGATGATTGATGGTGGTGATGAAGATGAAAAAAAGATATGAAAGCGTTTCTGTTCTGCTGTAGTCGTCGTTTGCTGGTGTTTCCGTCCGTCTGTGGATCATGCTCATCATGGTGAATCAAGCCTTTGCTGGATATACTGTATAACTGTGCAATCTCCGTCTATCTATCGCTGTCTATGGAATGTGCCTGTATTTGGAGCCGAAATGGCCGCCATTGTACGTCTTTGAGTCAAGATGGCTGCTGAAGCTTGTTTGATGCAAAATGGCGGGCGCGCTGCTTTTTGCACTCCCAGGCTCCAGTTCTACAATCCTCGTATTGTGCTGCACATCTAGGATGAACAACAACATGACAGGCCCAGTCATATATGTGCTGCGATGCATATAATAATCCTTTTGAGAGACCCATTTTTAGCATTTTATTCACAGAAAATAAGAAAACCTACTATATCAGGATGCTGGGTTTTTGGCTTTGTGTTTAATGCTTTCCAGTCCAGAAGCGGATGGTGATCATATGTGGACTTCTGACTTGTTGCTGGCTGTAAGCTGTTTCCATATGCGTGTATTTTTCCTGTGTCTTTCTAAGGGGCTGGTGTATTTCCCTACTTGGAATAAGGACTTGGAGGTGGAAGTGGAGTTTTATGGGACATACTGCTATGGTTCAGTGTTTCTAGGTGCATGCTTACTGAAAGTGTACTCTCCTGTGTGTTGCATTTCTATTCTCTCTGAGAAACTCTTTGACACTCCGTTAGTCAACGAGAGCCCAAGCCACCGCAAACTCATCCACATTTTTTTGTGGATGAACAAAATGCTATTTTAAATATTGCCCTAATATATTTGATCGTATTCCATCAGTATTTGATATAGTCTCATCTGTTTACGAACTGGAACAGGTACATGCTCTCAGCGCTAAGGCAACTGGACCAGTAAGAATTGAATGCATGTACATTGCACGTCTGTGCCAAACATAAAATTGTGCTGGTCTTGGCAGGGCTGTATTCACTAGGAACCAAATGGGACAAAACAAGGAATGACCTAACTGAATTCGTCAAATAGAAACTCTCATTTTTGTTGCAAAACGTTTTCCGTTGCGAAATGTTTTGCTACGATGTGCAGTAATGAATACACCCCAGGTAGTTTTTTCCCCCCAACCATCAGTGTCCATTGGTGGAACGGTTGATCTCGTTGTTGGTCACCTGTTAAAGTGCAAATCATGTCTGAATTACTGTTTCTGCTCCCGAAATGGGCTTTAAGCTCTGCTGGTCACACCAACCATCACAGGGACATTTTTTTTATATCTTATTTTATTTGGCATCAGTCTAACAGGGCATTTATCTTGTTTCCTGTACATTCCATAATAAAATGCATTCTCTCTGTCTCGCGCACACACACATCACTCCCTCTGTCTGAGAGGGTTGTATCACTTCCTGTGTGTAACATGAGTAAACATTCCCAGGGTAGACATGCATGAGAGTGTGGAGGGAAGTTTCAGTCATCCACAGAATAAACAGGGAAAGTGAGAATGTGATTTAATTCTACTCAAAGGGACCTATTGACTCAGACAGCTGTGTGACAGGGTTTACTGCTCCATGGCCAGTTTAGTCATTTTCTTGTCATATTGAATAAAGATCGCAATAGTGGGCAGTGGGAATAGAGCACACTTTTTATTATCAGACATCATACTCAAATGGGTTACAGGAGACTATAGGGACTTTTGGATATAGGATGCATCCCAAATTGCACCCTATTCCCTATGTAGTGCACTACTTTTGACAAGGGCCCATAGGGCTTTGGTAAAAATGTGTTTACTTTGTAGGGAATATGGTGCCATTTGGGACATATACATATTGTACTGCAAATGGACATGGTGCCACATGTTCTCATCATGTATTATAATTGTTTATTGCACAGGTATAAAGAGTAATCCGACACTGTTCCCAGTTTGATCGAAGTTAAATGTTTAATTATGATTCCGTTGTATTTAAAATTGTTCCATTGAGTAAGCTTCTTTATCCAAGTCTATGCTGGTGCTTTTGTTGTTGTTGATGTGCTTTGTCCAAGTTGGTAGCATCTGCCCCGAGACTCTTCAAGACTCTTCTGACATTTGAGATGTGTAAAATGTTCTGAATGTTGGCTGGATGAGATTTCTGCCATAAGTATGATTATTTTCTGGGACTTGTAGATAACGGGGAATCTCTGCTCTTTTTAAGTTAATGACAGTTGAGGAGGATTGGTGTAAAACGCCCAGAACTAAGGGATTTATATATCCTTTCATGTGATAGTAGCACCACCTTGTGGTCATATTGAATATCAAATTAAAACGTACATTATCTGATCAGATAATGAGTGCATATTGGTGATTGCTGTATACTGATTGTGCTATATGCTGTGAGTGCAAACCGAACCGAAATCAAGTAACTTTTTCGCGATCCAGGGCCTGTATGCAGTTTACAAATCATAAAGACTACAACGTGTGTTGGCACTTAATGTAACTGAGACTGTTTTGTATCATGAACTAAATAAAGGTTTTGCTTTTACCATCTCAAAACAATATTTACATTTGCATGTGTTTATTCACTAAACATATCTGTCCAATTCTGTGGTGTCACTTGTATTCTGTTTCTAACTTCAGGCCCGGGTTCTGTATCACATATCTATCAAGACTATTCGAGACTAAAACATGTGAATGGTTTATGTATGGCCCAACTAGCCTAAATGTTTTGAGGTGCATGTGGGTGCTATTGGCTCCCCTTAAAAAGAGTCAGTCAAGACTCAGATTCCTAGGAATTTGCTTACAGTATTTATTCAGCGAGTTACATGTTTCATTTGCAGATATTGTACAACACGTGACGAAGTCATTTTGCAAAAGAGTTGACAACCAAAGCACAAGTATGAAATATGTCAGTGTAAAGTCAACCATACTCTCGTAACGTTACACTTAGAACATGTGTTGTGCTACATTCCATCTTTACAGTCTCGTTCCTATTGTCAGGGAAAAGGGTTGGTCTGGGTGGGATTCACACTTACCACTTATTGCAGCATTCTGATGATGCCCTGTTTTTGCCTGCACCACAATGTGGAATGGAGGAAGGCTGACTCCACCACAGTACTATCCAAGGCAATTCCATGTTCTAGCCTATAAGTTCTAAGACCTCGGTCATGTTCACAAGGCAAACGTTGAATGTTGCATAAAGAAATATCTTGAATAGTCTACATGATTCAGTTTGTTCTAAATAACATTTCTATCTGAACGTTCCACAATGTTGTGCCCTGCTTAATGCGCCCCTCATAATCCTGCAACATCGACAGGTTAAAAGAAAGTGGCAAATATTACAAAGCCACGTCTTATGTAGGCCTAGTCTAATTAATCTCTGTTCATAGTTGTTGTTTGTTCTAACTAAGCTGTTATGAGTTAAATTACCAGTAATGACATGCTTGACTCATGATCAATATTTGCATTATAAGGCAACTGTACAAAGTGAGTATCATCAGTTACCAGTGTAACCTGTTTTCCCTGTTAGGCCTGCAACTGTTTGCATATACGAAGTCTTGTTGGGCACTGAGGTAAAAATGGTACTCGAATCATGGATTAAAATGACTAAGAACTAGCACAACCTTCTCCTTGTTTGAACAGTGAAATTTGTTCACTTTTTTCTTCTTCAATGTTCATGATAATGCAGAGGAAAATTGTGTACAAAACATTAAGAACTCCTTCCTAATATTGAGTTTCACTTTTTTTCCCCAGAACAGCCTACATTTTTCGGGGCATGGACTCGACAAGGTGTCGAAAGCACTCCACAGGAATGCTGGCCCATGTTGACTGAAATGCTTCCCACAGTTGTGTCAAGTTGGCTGGATGTCCTTTGGGTGGTGGACCATTTTTGATATACATGGGAAACTGTTGAGCGTGAAAAACCCAGTAGCGTTGCAGTTCTTGTCACAAACCGGTGCACCTACTACCATACCCCGTTCAAAGGCACTTAAATCTTTCACCCTCTGAATGGCACACAATCTATGTCATGGAAAGACCAGGTGTCCTTAACGTTTTGTAGAAGTATCCTACTATAAATTGTCTGCAAAAGGAGTCATTTTTTGCTAAATACTATCATTGTCCATCTCCAAATAAACAAATCAAATAGCCTAAAGTTTGTTTCAAGTTATATTTACTCATTTGGTTTTCATGATACAATGTTGAGAGGAGAAAACCTTGTTATGAGTTCATTGCAATTTTATAAAATATATAAAAGTGAGTCATGCTGGGTTGCAGTCATCAGGGAAAGTACATTGACCCACTTAACTCTTCCCTGTGAATTGAATGAGGAAGGAGGGTTGAGTGCTTCAGTAGAGCTGGTTCAGCAACATACCTGACATTGGCATTTTCTCAATTGCATCCTCTCTCCTCGCCTTCTCTTCTAATGGGTTTTGATAAGAAGGTCAGAGGGGAGAGACCTCTGGCTTTCTAATCCAATGGGTTTTGAGAAGGAAGTGGGGAGAGGACGCGAGGAGTATGCGATTTAGATTATCCTGTAGTGATGGTTTGCTTGCATGTTGCAACATCAGAGGGACAAATAAACCCTTGACATAACGTACTGTGGGCAGTCTGTGGGAGAATCTCAATTGCATACTCCTCGCGTCCTCTCTCCTTGCCTCCTCAAAACCCATTGGATGAGGAAGACAGAGGTCCCTCTGACCTTCCACTCCAATGGGTTTTGTGAAGGAGACAGAGATAATGTGAAGAGTATGCAATTGAGATTCTCCCACTGAGACTGCCCACAGTACGTTATGTCAAGGGTTTGTATTTGATTGAGACACACCACTGCCCCCTGGCTACAACAGTATGTATGAGACTTAAAAACACAGTAAGGACCGGTTTCCTAGACATAGATTAAGCCTAGTCCTGGATTAAAAGATTCTCCATTGACAATGCTTTTTAGTCTAGAACTAGGCTTATTCTGTGTCCGGGTAACCGGCCCAATCACACTCAAACTCGTCAGGTTATTAGAACTTTGTCTCCATTATCCAACTTAAAACCAGAGGCCTTGACACCTGTTGACATACCTGCTACACACACTACCAGAAACAATGACTGAAATATGTTAGCACATCTCAGGCAATGTTTCTAGCTGTGTGGGCAACTTGTAACACTTGGAAAGGACTCTGTGAGAGAGGTAAGCTACTGTTGTATGTTATTACAGATTTGTATCATTAGTGCATGTCTTATCATGCATTGTGGTTTTAACACTGTATTGCAATACAACAATATCATGGTTCATTGCTATTATCAAATACATGTAGGCCTACAGTATAAAACGTTACCTCTTGAAGCAATAAGTAATTATGTGGCATTATCAATGCAATGACTATACTAGTTACATATATTATTAAGGATTTTAGCCTGTTTCATTCATAAAATCTAATGAGGCTATCTAGGCTTAAAACATTTACGCTACTTTAGCGTTTTGAAGGCGCCATTGCTTCTGTCATGTGCAGGTTAGTGACAGGTTATTCAGGTGTGTAGCCAACAGAAAAGTGTACCTGTGCCGATAAACTTTTAATCAGTCAACACTTGGAATTACTATTAAAACACAGGCTAGTGAACGAAAATTGTCAAGGAACACGACGTATGGCAATGAATATAACATGCTGACAGTTCAAGGTGTGCGTAGGTTAACTCACCTGTCGTGGTCTCGGTGTCGTACAATGTTCCATTTAATAATCATGTAATAATAAAGTAGATATGGTCAAGTACATGTTAACTAGGCAGATAGCATGTTTATGA